ATGCACCATATATTCTAATCTTTTGTGTTTCAAAGCCATTTGCATCAACAAATGTTTGGTTTCTAACTCAGTGTATCCTTGTCTTAGTAATCCCTTCTTAGGTCTTATTTCTAGAAAGATCTTTACTCAACAGAACGCCCAGGTGTAGTCGCAGCCAGAACACTCTTGTTTTGCCCACTCCAGATTTTCTCTGTCAAATATCATTGCGCTCTTTCAATGCTTTCATTCACTTTTCCCTTAACCACTCTGCTGAAGTTTTGCATTCCACAATGAACAAACCTGTGTCCATTCCAAACCCCCTGGAGATGAGACCTCCCTCAGAGTCAAAGTGTATTCATTGAGCACACAGTATCTGTCACTAAAGTGATGCAGCCTCCTGGGACCTAGCACAGATCCTTCATGCCTCTAGTATGTCCAATCCTCTCCCTACATTCAGGATAGGCAGAATGTTGAGAGAAAACATGGTAAAAGATAATTGTAGCAAAGAATTGGCAAAAGAGATGGAAGTAGTTGAGGAAAAGGAATTTGGCAAGGTCATATTGGTCAGGGTCTTCTATTGCCTCCCAGAGAGTTTTCCTTTTTCCCCATGGACTACAGGTAAGTAGCACATGAATATTCTCACCATCCAACCCTCAGCTCCCTGTCCTCCCTCTTGATCTTCCAAGATACTCCTATTCCTGAAAGACTTCCTCCCTGACCTTCCAAACCCCATCACATCTCCAGTAACTACCCAGTTTCTACTTCCAATTGCCTTTACAGTACCTGTGTGTGGTCATTATGAAGCTTCCACCCAACATTCCTGAACTTGCTTCTCGTTTGCCCTTGGGGACCTGGAATCTTGGCATTTATTGATTTGATTGATGCTAGAAAGGGTGGGAGCATCCAAAACTGCCCCCTTCTTATAAAAACCCAAGAGCCTACGAACTTGTGTATTGAACAGTCTAAAGTCAGTACAACAAAAACAGGAAGCATTGTCTTTTCTGGTCATTGTTTTTTCCTATGCTGTGTTGAATCTCTCTTGAAAATACCTCAAGGAAATTTCACATTTCGTCAGTCACTTCTATGGATATTAAAGTCCAGACCAGCTAAATTTAATTCTGAACAAAACTTGAAACTCAAATTCTCCCTTGCACACAAGCATTGCCCAGGTATCTCCCAGGAGACTGGAGTTGGAAGGGGAATATGATAGGCTCTTTCTCTCATTCACTACCACCTCTCCATCTTTTTCCTGAGTACCCCTTCCTCCTCCTTTGTATTGGGAGATGGAAAAGGGGAGGGGAAATCAGTATACATGTGACTGTACCACTAGCTTCCTCTATTGGCAGGTTCTGCAGGAGGGCTGTCTTATAGGGTGCTTTTGTGAGTGCTTCTGGAGCATCGTCAAGGATTTTCCTCGCAGCATGATTTCCAGACACGGGATGAGCAGTCAGATTTAACCCTTCAGGTACTGCCTAAGCTCCTACCTTCATTGTCACCAGCCATAGCTTCTCGATAATGAGGTCTCTCTGCCCAACAGAAAACCTTCCTTAGCACAATACTAGCAAGACTGTGGAAGCTGGTCTTCCTTCTTAGATGTCATCTGCTGTTATGTCTCAACGTCCTGTTCTATCTCTTCAGTTCCTTTTCTTTATTCAACAATAGGCTCAGAGGTTAGAACATCAAGTCTACTACCATAGCAGACATTCTGCTGAGGGATAAAGGAATAAAGATTTCTTGAAGGAATCTCTAACATCTACAAGCTGTCATTGTGAATCCTGCCCTTTCAATTGACCTCTGTTGTAGGAAGACAACCAGTTTCCCTCCCCCGTACAAGATTAGGGGGAGACTACAACATTGTCTTTCAGGACAATAACTTCCCTATCTAAAAAATTCTCACCAAAGTTCAGCCCTCCAAATATATAACTGAACCAGAGAAATAGAGTTCCATTTTTTTTTTTCTTAGCAAGTCCTGCAGAGATTTTCAGCAGCTTATCCTGAGGTTACTTTAGTATATGGGGATAAGAGGCATCTATTATTTTCATCTTTTGACTTCAGCCAACATCCTAACACAAGAAGAAAATTTGGGTCCAACATCTTCTTACACACTGGGTCCTACTAGAGCTTTCTCAGGAAAATAGAGAGAAGTGTAAATATCTCAAAATACCACTTAATCTGAGGAGAAAATTCAAATTCATATAAGAAACTTAGGTATGTTGGAGATACGTGGCACTTTCTGGCTACTGATTCCCATTTTCCTTAAGAATGACTTAGCTGCTTGCCATGGAATGTAATAGTCACAGTCATAGCAGGAACAGAATGGAGACGGAACTGTGAGTTGTAAGCAAAGGGAGGAGAATTCTGTTTGTTGACTCATTCTTCATTGCTGATGTGGAATGTCCAAAATGCACTCCAGGGAGCTAAACCTGAGGTCCTGCAGTGCCTGTTCCCATAGTACCAGTTGGAATGACTAAGTCATGAAATTCTTCCTGGATTCATCCAGCCAGAGCAGTCTCTGTATTTCCTTGCTGTCTTTGGACCACAGGAAGCCAAGGCTCCTCAGGATGGGACTCCTGGGACTTATCATTCTCAGGGAGGTGGCCTTGTGCTGTAGGGGAAGTGACCAGATCATGATCTTATAGCTACTGTTTGTCAGCACAGGACAAATCCTGTGCGTGTAAGGACTGTGAACACCTGATCTCAGAAGGAGGACAGTGAGTGACAGGAGGAATCACTACGGTAGAAGGGAGATTAATGCGCTCTCCAGGTCTTGTGGGGAGGCTTTCAAGACAGGCAGTCAAGAACGGGGCTGGAGGAAAGCCTAACAGTCATCCACTATGTTTTATAAAACAGAGGTAACACGATATATTGAATGTCATTGGCAAGGATGCTTTGTTCCTTTGAAACTTGCCCAAAATGTGTGATTTATGTTTCTTCTCAATTAATGCTTCCACCTCCTACCTCTCCCAGCTGCCAATGACTCAGGGTTGCAACCCATGCAGGAAAATGGCTATCATGCTTTCTCTGTTGGGAGGACAAGCCTTGCTTATGATAAACACAAGATACAGAGAAATGAATGTTCAGATTTGCAGCAAAGTCTAAACCCCAGTAACTTTTTAACTGAATTTTTCAAAAGATTGTGCCCCTTTTCAGCTTCACCAGTGTGGAATGAGAAAGTACCCATTTCAACCATCATGAGTAATTCCTTCCAATGCACTAGCAATTGGTGGGTTCTAAAGAATGTAAAAGAAATGGACACCTAGTGTAGCCCTGGAGCTAAGCCCAAAAATATCCCTTCAGCAAGAGGCCTCTGCAGACAGAAGAATATCAGAGAGGAGAGTCAATCCTATTCCTCCTCCTCCATTCCCAAGCCACATTCCTAGAGACAATTCACTCTCTCTTAAATATCTCAAAATAAATCATGGAATTCTGCCCTCAACCTCCTACCATGTTTTAAAGAGGGTAAGTTGTAAAGTGCATGCTCTGATAGGGAGTTTGTTGTCTAAAAGCCATAAACTATCAAGTACAGGGAACAATAACAGGCATTTACCATAAACATGTATTATTTAAAATTACCATTTAACCTAAATATAATGTTCTGTTATACTTCTGACTTTAATTTTTTAGAAACAAATAGCAAAGTACAGGTATTGTAATAATAGAGGTGAATTCAGTGAAAAATTCATGTCTAAAACTATCATAAAATCGAATGGGAAAAATAAGAATCAGACTTTATATTTCATCCTACGGACACCTTAGAATGTATAAGGTTTGTTCCATTAAATGTGATGCACATGATGTCACTACCATCACTAACTTCATCATCCGCAATTCATTGAACAAATCATCTTCATGACTCTCACCAATTATCTTATATATTTTTGCTCATGGACCATTTTATTTGCTTACTATCAGTATCATACACCCCATGGGAAGCTAAATATGGGCCAACCTATGTTTTTCATATTAAGTATGAGTCTTGTGATCTCAACTGTTGCATGTTCCTTAATGATTTCGTCTGCTTATTCATATAATCCTACCTTAATCCTCTTATGGGCTCCAACTGCCCCAGACAGGGCCTGGGTCCCATCCTCCATTCACTACCTAATACATCTCATTCCCAGGGTCCAGTGGTCTCAGATCACCCAACATCCCCAAGAGTCAGGAGCCAATTACATCTTAACAAACAATACTCCTGGGGAATATGCAGAGGAATAGGGAATTGATGTCCAAAAAAGGATGTTTGTATCCCAGGATGCATCACATGATATCATATCAGACACATATGTTTACATCTCTGATGTAAGTCCAGTTAACTTTGAAAGGCTCTAGATCAGGAAATGTGTCATATGCATCTATACATTCTCACTGCAAAATGCAAGGGACAGAGCTCAGACTAAAGCATCTGAGCTAAATGAGTGAAAGGAGAAGAAATGACAGGTCCCCAACACACGTGGAGATCTGTCATCAAGACTTCCTGGTTTCCTCTTGACAGGCATCTTGGCAAGCATGAAGGAAGATGCTGGAGGCCTGGGATGGGAGTGTTTGGCTCTGCCACCTCCCCTTGTGGTGAAAGCAGCATGCCTGGGCTGTGCATCACTAACCCTGCACAAGATAAAAAGGCTCTTATTTTGGGCTCCTCATCCACAGCCTCCTAAAGAACAGCCTTCTCCTCCTTAGTATCTTCTGTATCGGGCAAGTATCTAGAGGGGACTCGCAGCTGGGGATGTCTGGGGAAGATAAGCCCAGATTTTACTAGGGAAGGGGGAAGCAGAGGTGTCAGAGGTACACACAGCAGGAAGAGGACTTCAGAGGGCAACTGAGGGTAGGGGAAGGGGCAGTGAGTAAGGAACCTCTTTGGGGTGCATGGAAGTCTGTGACACACCAGAGCCCTGGCTCTCAGTATTCTCTCTACTCTTCCTAAGAGATGCATACATGCCCAGTGATATTCTCTGAGAATCATTACTCAATTAGGTGTTTTTGCATCAGTGTTTCTATGAAGACAGGAGGACTTGGGGCCCAGTTAGAAGACACCAGTATTCTTTTCTGGAAGAGGGAAAAGTGGAAGGAAACGTCTTACCAGGCCAGTTTTACTTGAGATGAGTTTCTGTTTTTATTCGTGAAGTGTATATCTCAGGAAGCAACTGGTCTTAGGACTTCATAAAACCATTTGTAGAGGAGGCACTAGCCTGGAGCTTTTGTGTTGAGCTTTTCCTTTTATCTCTCCAGGCTCTCACCTCCTGCCAAGATGTCCTGCCAGCAGAACCAGCAGCAGTGCCCGCCTCCACCCAAGTGCCCCTCACCCAAATGCCCCCCAAAGAGTTCAGCACAGTGTCTGCCTCCAGCCTCCTCCTGCTGTGCTCCAAGCCCTGGGGGCTGCGGTGGCCCCAGCTCTGAGGGCGGCTGCTGCCTGAGCCACCACAGGCACGGCAGGTCCCACCGATGCCGGCGCCAGAGCTCCAACTCCTGTGACAGGGGCAGTGGTCAGCAAGATGGTGCCTCCAGCTGTGGCTATGGCTCTGGAGGCTGCTGCTGACCTAATTCCTGATGTGGAGACAAGTGACTTTAGAGGAAACAAGTATCTCAAGGACCAAGGAAAAGCCCTAACTTGACAGATCCTTTCTTAGACATCCTAATTAATCATTCATTTATGGGGAAGGATGCTTTTTCCAAAAGGCTCCACCCATGTGTTTTCCAAGACTGTGGAAGCCTCCTTTACTCCTGACAATGTTATCACTTGTGTCTGATTATAGAGAGAAATAAAGCTTCTGAACAGCACCTGCATCTCACTTGTCTTTCACTCTGCTACACAGAAGGCTGCTCAGTGGGTCTCCCCTCCCTCAGCTCCTGAAGGTCTAGCACACCATGCATCCAGAATAATACGAGCTTGTGGCTGGAAAATTAATGGGCCAGATTCTTCTTCATGCAGGGGGTCCCTGTGGGAGATTTGAGGATAGAAGTGTAGGAGAATGGGGAGGTATTGAGAGAGGTTGATGAAAATCTCGTAGAAAAGGCCTGACTTTTCTTGTGTGATACTGTGGGAGGAGTGATTTGATCTTGGAGCCCACAGTTTCTGTTGAGGGTGGCGTAGAGAATCAGAAAATCGACAAGAATGAGACCAAAGAGGATGGAGGGTATGGAGGCAGAAAGAAAGCTCTGAAGGATGAAGATCAAATCAAGCTGCACATAATGGACTTTAGGGAGGGAGGTGAGCTGAAGTTAGTAAATCTGAAGCAATTGGAATTGAAGTTTTCTCTGATGGGAATGCTAATGAAAGACTCTGTGCTCTGAGAAAACAGAAAAAAGAGACAGGATTAATGTTTCTGGGGGTACAGATTACATATCTGTAAATTTCTTTTAAGAGATTTGAGATAGAATTGAATTCATTATTATTATTATTTTCTGTCATGTGTTACTTTTTGAACTCAACAATAATGAGACACAGCCATATTATAGTTGGACTCTAATTGGGGAGCTCCTGTCCCAACTTTGGAATATGGCAGTGTTTTATCTCTACTCAAACCAAAGTGATTATTGTGAATCATCAGTGCTGTTTCATTTTGATAGCTGGATTTTGGAAATAATATTGCAAAACAGGGGGCTGTTTAACCCAAGCCATGATGGTTCTCAAGATAACTTCAGAAAGATGAAAATAAATCATATAGCTGTGGCTAAGTCAAAGTAGAAAGTTTTGAGGGAAATCAGAGGTTGAGCATGGACATTTTAGACAGAGAATAAGACCTATATGATACTTTGGAAATTCAACTGATTATAATACTTTCTTTAAAATTTCATTTTTAAAAAGTGGCAAACTGGAAATCAGTTTTGCTCCAATATACTTGGACACATTATTTCTTAAGAAACTGGAATGAAAAGTGTCAAAAGGAACCATGACTGAAAGTTGAAGTCAAATCTGCTCTGCTAGTCAAATCACTTAACTGGCTGAGAAGGGTTCTCTGAGAAAGTGAACAGATATATGAAACTTACAATTGGATAGACTTGAATCAATGTAATAGGCTTCTTGCCCTGGTACACTTAAGACATGCTTGGGAAGTACTCTTTAAAAGTCAGAATTAAAACACATAATGGATAAAAAAGAAAAAGGATGGGCAAGCTCCTTATGGGAATACCTGAGTCCCACACTAAGGTATGTTGTACATGCAAAGCCTCAAGCATTGATGAAGCTAGTTGGCCTAAAATTCATAGGAATTGTGTGCATTTCAGGGTGCATAGAGACTGTGATTGCACAAACATTTGATGAGTGTTGGGGCGATCAGACCCAACACTAGCCTCAGGGGGTCGGTGGCTACGAAGTCCGGTGGAGTCAAAGGAATGAGAAAAGACAAGTTAAGAGAGAAAGTGGGACCAGGGGGCCAATGCTAGTATGGAGGCTGCAAAGGCCCTGAGCTCTGGGAGCCCACGCTATTTATTAGTGATCAAAGAAACAGGTGGTGAGGATGTGGGGGTTGAAAGGAAGCTATGTATCAAGGGAATGAGCTACAGCTGTGATGGTTATCATTTTCTTTGAAACATATGGCTACTTGAGATAATGGGAGTGCTAGAAGCAAGGAGCCAGCAAGTCTAGACACAGTCCAGAGGCCATGATGGGTTTTAGACCCTGGACCCCAGACATATTCCAAGCCCTGCCTCAGTTTCTCTCCCATCACTCAGCTTTTCTCCCAATAATGAGTGTATCTCCAATGTCGTGCCACTCTAGGCATTGTAGGTACAATGGGAACAGATGAAGTTTCTTTTTACTTGGAGCAGACATTGATTGAGCATGTTGCAGGCTGACATTTTCCTTGCTCTGCATTCAGTTGGATTCTCATACCCTGTGTGTCATGAGTGTCAATGTAGGTGAGGTAAACCTAGCCTTGGAAAAACATTAAGGCATGAAAGTGGTGAATTTTGCATGGACTAAGAAAGCTATCTAGTGGCTATTGGCACCTCAGCAGAGCCAACAACTTTAGAAGGAAGAAGGTAAGTTGCTGATGGCCGAAAATCAGTGGATGTCCTATTGTTACATAACAAACCACCCCAAAACTTAGTGATGTGAAACTACACACTAAGTGATGTGGAATGACAGCCATCTTGGTTTTCTCACAATTTTATGGGTCAGAAATTGAGAAAGGACTCAGCAGGGCAATTCTCATTTCATGCATTTGTCATCAGATGTTGATTGGAGCTGTGGTCACCTGAAGGCTGACTGGGCTGGACATCTGAGAAGGCTCGCTCGGATTGTTGGCTCTTGATGCTGGATGCCAGCTAGGACCTCTTCTGGGGTTGTCACCTGGAGGACCTACATCTGGCCTCTCTTGCATGATGGTCTTAGAATAGCCAGACTTTTTACAAGGTAACTAGCTTCCCCAGAGACAGCCTCCTAAGAGGACCAGATGGAATCTGCATGACCTTTTGTGACCCAGCCTTTGAAGTCACATAGCATATTTCAACCATATTCATTTGGTTAAAGGAGTCACAAGCTTGCTTAGATTCAAGGTAAGTGGACATAGGCCTAACTTCTCAATGAAAGGAATGTTAAAAAACTTTGAACCATGCCTTAAAACCACCACAAATAGGTATTAGCCAAATCCTCACCCTCTTGTCAGTTCACTCTATATATTGTTGAAGCCCTAGTATAAAATTAATGTTCCCACAGTGTTTTGAAAAGACTCATATTTTGGTCATGTTGGTAACGTATTCAAGCTTTGAAGAGGGTGGCCACTCCTCTTTATGGAACTAGAATGTTCAGAACTATTGCTGCAATAATGATGTCTTACCAAAAGATATCAAAGTTATTTACATATGCCAAATAATTATCTAATTCCTGGCCAACATGGTGAAACCCCATCTCTACTAAAAATACAAAAATTAACCAGGCATGGTGGCTCGTGCCTGTAGTTCCAGCTACTCAGGAGGCTGAGGCAGGAGAATCAGTTGAACCTGGGAGGTTGCAGTGAGCAGAGATCGCACCACTGCACTCCAGCCCTGGAGACAGAGTAAGACTCCACTTAAAAAAAAAATTAAATGCAATGGGAAAATATTAAACTGCTGTTATTTATATTCAGCAGAAACACTGGTGAAATAAACTTAATTATCACTTTATCAATTACTTTATTATTCCTCCCATCAATTATCATTCAATCCCTCCTTTTTCCTAGAGCATTCTGCCCGATGTGATATGAGCTTCCCTGTGTCTGAACCATTCCTATCTCTTTGATCAATAGTGCAGTCAAGTAAATGCTGAAGCAATGTCTGTCACGTCACAGATCTAGACTGCTAGATTTGCAGGTCTGTTATATCAAAGATCTAGACTGCTAATTGATGTCTCTGCTTTTAATTCCAGCATTTCTGGTTCATTTTGCCTTTATTTTTTGGTTTGTTTTTCCCTAGACACCTCTAGGTTTCTCCTGGTATTTAAAAGGGGGAGGCAATGGAGTCTGACTCCAGTGCTCATATTCTTGGTCTGCACACTATTCTGCCTCCCATTATCTTAGCTTGCTTCCCTTTCAGATCCAACTTCTCTCAAAGGGCAGCTTCATTTCTTCCCTCTGCCAGGAAACCTTCTGACCAGGGACTCCTGGCTCTTGGGTCCCATTAGTTCTTCTTAGTCACTTTAGCTAGGCCACCACAGGATCATCACAGGTCATTTTGCAGGCCAGAAACCTCACCCAACACCCACAAACGATACTAGTGACAATGTCTGAACACTTCACTCTTGTCAAGGAAACCGGGAGTTACCATCCAAAGGATAAGTCCCATGGACTTCCCACACACTTACATAATAGTTCATATCATTCCAGCTCATACGTGGATTGCTGACTTGTCAGCATCTCAAGGATGAGAATCATATTTTACACATTTCTGAGTCCTTTGTGTCAACATATATCTGAACTGTATCCTCATCTTCTGTTGTTTGAATGAATTAATTAATGAATAAAATAGTATGGACAATTAGTTTTCAACAGTCCTGATAATCAAGGCCAGATATTTGGGTGTTATAGGGACTTCCCGTTTCCCTTCTGTCAGAAAACATCTTGGCACCTACTGAATAATTGTTGAATTTCCTACTGAAGAGTTAGATTTTGAAGAGCTGTTACTTGGAGTAGAACCCATCACCATCATCACTCTCCATATCCCATCTCCTTTTTTCTGATTCTAAATCAAAGTACGAAGAGAGAATAGCTTCATCAGCAAACACCCTGAGCCAATTCATTCCTGCCCAAGGCGCTGTTTCCCTGCTGCCCTTAGGTTAGCAAAACTGTGAGCTTAGGGTCATTGGGTCAGGGTCTGAGAAAGATGGTGAGGGACAAAGGGAGATAGATAGATAGATAGACAGATAGAAAGAAAGAAAACAATGATTTACTTTTTCATTTCTTCCAGGGATCATTGAGCTGAGATGTCCTGAAAGGAAAAACTAATAGCTCTGTCAGCCCCCTCCCAAGTGCCTAACCCTCAAGTATCCTTTTGGTTGTTTGCTGCCAGTCTATTTCTTTTGTGGTTCCAGCTCTGCAGGAAGCTGCTACCAGAGTCACCATGGGCCCACAGATCCCACTGACATGCCCACCAGAGCATTCTGGAGGCTCCAGTTGCTGCCACAGCTCTGGGGGCTGCTGTGGTCCTGGGTCATGAAGACTACACAGTATCAGAGTTGGAGGAACCAGAGGACCAAGGACCTGCTCTCGTCTGGAGCCTCTCCTCCTCTCTGCCATGCCTAGGGCTGAGCTACCAAAGTGTTTTCTGAAGGATCTGAATGGGCCCAGTAAGCTAATTCCCTTTGCTTTCAAGAGCTCTG